CTCATTCACACTCACATCACTCACACTCGCACACACTCACACTCACTCACTCTCCCACTCTTGCTCACACTCACTCTCACTCACACCCACCTAGGAAATCTGCGCCGCTTCTTCTAAAAACACTAAGACTAAAAACGAATCTTTGGAGGTCAACCTGCCATTTTCACCCAGCGGAATATAGCATGTCTTTGGCTTGTTTGTTCATGGGGGAAGCCTCCACCACCCTCCAGTGCCACGAGATCTGCATGATGTACTTCATGCACAGCATCGTGCTTCCAACAAAACAGATTCTTTAAAGGTCAACCCATCGTATGCCCGCTCACTGATCTGGCGTTTGCTGTTGAGGTCTGGTAGTGCACGCTGCAATCTGGCGCTTGCTGAGGTCTGGTAGTACCCACTGCGATGTGGTGCTTGCTGTTAAGGTCCGGTGGTGCCCAGCTGTCAAGGTCCGGTAGTGCCCACTGTGATCTGGCGCTGCTGTTAAGGCCCTGGCGTGCCCATTGTGATCGCAATAACATCCTTTCAAAACTCATTCAATAATACCCCTTATGTTTTCTAGCTTCTTTGCTTGCCTGCTCCTGTCATCGTCAGCACATCTGTGAGAGCATACACATGAGAGCGCACATGCACCATGCCAAACATTTAGCTTGACACGGAATGGCAGTTTGAGATTCAGAAAGCACTGCGCCTCCCACGAAATAATCTGCACATCTAGGCCAACAAAGCGCTGCGCTTGCCACCACCCTCAGGTCCGCCTAGCGCCGCCTGGCACAAAATCTGCATCTCGAAGTCCACCAAGCGCTGCGAAATCGAGGTCCGCCTAGCACTGCGCATGCCACAAAATCTGCACTTCGAGGTCCTCCAAGTCCTGCGCCTACCATGAAATCTGCACATGAAGGTTGCCTGCCACGAAAGTGCACTGGGAATGTTTGTTTGATCCTGTTCCTTTTCGATATGTGTTTTTTAAAGATCTTCTTGGAATGAAATATGTGTGTTCTTTCTTTTAATGATCTTCACTGTGCGGGTTCCACACACGGAGCATGGTGCATAACAAGCCAGACGTGTCCTAAAGCCATGAGACAAAACTAGGTTTGTGGAGGCAGAAAGGAGCTTGCACATCTCGGCCAAAAAATGCTTGCTCCGACGTAACATGGAAAAGCTTCCGTGTATATATATATAATAGGAAATGGTAAATAAATGGAAATAAAAAAAAATACAATTGAACAATTCGAACTATGATGATGAAGGTCGAAATTGTACAAAACAACCCACCTGCCAAATATGTTTTGTTAAATCACTTGTCCAAGTGACTTGTTTGGGCTCACTGGGTTCATGACATTAATTTACTATGCTCACTTGCATCTTTCAATCTTAGTAGCGATGCCAGGCGCCCCTAGTAGCGTCCTTGCTCCTAAGATGCAATTTGCGGACAAATAAGGATTTTTACGAGCCGGAACAATTGGCAAGCGTCGAGTGTTGTCAGGAAGCCTTGAGGTGGACAATATCAATGTATTTTGGAGGCTGCACCAAAATCTGTGTCGAGCATTTTTGGATCAGTAGCATTTTGCATGCGATTGTCTCCTCAATATGCTATCATTACTGACATCTAGACGTATGGATCTGATCTGATATCGGCAAACCATGGCAAAGCGATTCTCTTGGGCACAGGCAACTCTTTGTTGGCACAATAGAATGCACACCAGGAGCCTCAAGGGAGTGATTGAAAACGTCTTGAACCCCCACTAGGCTCCATAAGCTTGCACTCTTTCGGACAAAGTGTCCAACCATCACATTGGCCCCTCCAAAGATAAACTTTGCCACTGGCCTGATGCTGGGAGAGTGTTACTGTCGCAGGCGTATGTCGTATGTGCTTGAAGCCTCAAAGCTCTGCCTCTGAATCACTACACTGGGAAGCAAAGCATCTGCTTCGACCTCACTCTTCTAAAACTGAAAACTGCCCACTTCGACAATTTCAGAGGGATGTTTTTGGGCTCAGACGCGCCACAAGGCTTGGAGGGTTGGCAACAGCTCCCCCTAAGTAGTGTGGGAAAGAGAAAAGCCCAGTAAGATTGAACAAAAAGGAGAAGACCCAAACAATTGAATTTGTGCGCACCCCTTCAATAAGCCACCCTTTAAAGGGGCCTTATTAAAGGAGCTTAAACAATTTGTTCTTTAACTCTGGGGGAAATACCGTACCTAGTTCCGCCTTTCCATCCAGCTGAACCTCAAATGAACAACAAGTGACAAGAGACAACAAGGTGGTTGTTGAAGCACCAAACAGATGAGAGCTGGGCATAGAAACACTCCCCGTTCACAAAAATGAATTGGAATGTACTTCCACCTGCCTAAGCTTGGCTTGCAGCTTGTGTAGCGTCCCAACCAACATGAGAGAACCCATCCAAGTCTCTATCCTTTCGAATGACCACTTCAGCTTTGTTTGGGAAAAGGGCCTTGGAGAAGAAATTGCAAAAGTTGTAAAAACCTTTGCATGTCTCATCATATCTCACAGTGTTTCACAAAAATGAATGTTGAAGTTCATGTCTCTTATAAAGATGCGACTGCAGCGATCTCATCGCCAGCAGTACTTGCTACGGCCTCGTCCGAAAGTCACGGAAACTTGTCATTTCTTCCCTGCTGTCCTCCTGACATACAGCCAAGTGGATGAGCCTGGTGCAACCGCTTGCTCTCTTTGCCACGTATCCTGGTGCACTTACTTTCTCAGTGGCATACACTGCACGTAGTTTTCTTGACCGCTTCCGATGGACAATTCGACATGTTTGTGCACCTGGTCTCACCCTTGAAAGCAACAGCTGCAGCCTTTTTGAACATCACCTACAGGGCACCCGCTGTCATGCCATCATGGCGATAGAATAAGCTGCGGAGCTTTTCAAACGCAGAACAGGGCACCCGCTTTGTACAAAAAAGGTTCACTGCCTTGACTGGTAGGTCTCCATAGTTCCCTGCTGTTCATGTGCACCTGCTTTCCAAGGGGATATTGAAGCCTCTTCAGTATGAGACCACAAAAGGTGTATAGTCTATAGTTAAACGTGCATTTAAAAACTGATGTTCACCGTGGCAACAGAACAAATGAAGGTCTAAACTAAAGGAGTCCTAAACAAAAACTGTAGTTGCTCAAGATCCCTCAAGAAATCGGAAACACAACATGAAACGGATGCCTGCCACAGGCACGCCCCATTCTCATTCTAATGCTGATGGGTGCCATATGTATAAGTAAACATGTCTGCATCTGATCATCTATATATAGTCTTAGCTGATCTTTTTATATACTTGCACTCATCTATACACATCTTGTCGTGTTGCTGTCTGAGTCTACTTTGCACATGATTTTGGTAAGTTGCAGTAGAGTGTTTATGTCGGTGGTCACATGTTGCTCTCAGAGCCAGATAGAGCCAAAGGCTAAATTATGCAAAGGCAATTCTTGCTATATACCCTTTTGATTGTTCATTTGCTGTCATTCTCTTATTTTACATTCTCGCAGTCAAACGCTGACTGGCTGTTTGCTCTCGCTTCAGGTTGCATTTGCGCGGCTTGAAGAGAAGGAAATCTCTTCACACCTCAAGGTGCTTTCAACCAATATGAAAATTTTGAAAATGCTTTGAGTATCCAGTAAGTATGTTGAAACGACTTTCTTGCAATAGGAGCTTGGCCGAATGGACATCCTGCGTGCAAAGCTAGGCATCGAGAAGTCTGACCAAAGCTTAAAATCATTGAAAAAAAACACGGTGACACGGCTTGGGTATAGCCGTCAATACCTGGCTTCACACAAATACTCTGCATCCTCTCACCTGTGTTGACTGCACCTCCACGCAAAGAGTAGGTAGGGGCAAACCTCACCAAGGAAGCAACTTACGGCAGTTCAGAAAGTAACATGAAGCAACATCCCAAGATTGAGACCACAATTGCCAAATACGAAGCAAGAAGCAAGAAGTCCAAGCCCTGTCAGGGCATGCCACAAACATGATAGTGGACACTCTGAGTTGAGTCCTTCATGGATGAGATCATTACATTGTTGAAGAGCATTGCCTCAGCTGGTCTTGCTCTGCATTTGGCAACACTCCAATACTCCATAAAGGTAGTCTCAGCACAACGCACAGCATGGAAGCAAAGGAAGACATGGTACTCGGAAGAAGGCCTTTTCAAAGGCCCGTCCAAGTGGTTGCGTCTAAATGTGTCTGCTCTGTTTGCTCCTCTGTGAAGCACTTGCAAGTGTTTGTTCTGGTCTAGGATGTTGGTCCATTCATTACTCACCAGAAAGAACATGCTGAAGAAACGATAGCAATAACCGGCTCTGAGAACAATGTCCGAAGAATAGAGTAAATGCAAAGGGCAGCTACAAGGCGAGCTGTCAGGAGTGGACCAGAAACACAAAGCATCAGGCCGAGCGCAATGGCACGATGTCTGAATTCGTGATGGGCGCATGCTGCAGGTGACAAACATTTCTGAAGCTCTTGCATACTCTAGCTATCTCCAGCTTATCTACTTATCATAATATATCATAATATATCTATATAAAGCAAGAACTTACATGAGGACCACTTACGAGATCTTGGCAAGGCAGGCGACAACACTTGCGCGAGTCTGAGCAAAGATAATGCTGGCCTTTCCCACTCTGGCTTTGTCAAAGTTGTTCAGTGCATTCACCCTCTGTCTGGTTCTGGCAGTCTCGCTGCCAGACACAACATTGTGATGTTTGTGCGAGCTGTTGGTCTAGAACCTCGTCAGAAGGCTTCTCACAAGGTTTATCCAGGATCCATTGCTCGTCCAGAATAGGTTTTCTTGTTCGCTGCTAAAGGCAAGTCTTTCGCTGCGACTGCTGTTCGCTTTGAAGACAGGCGAGGTCCAACGGTAAATGTGCCTCAGATAATTAGTCCTATTAGTCCTGCAACCCCGACATCTTGTGTTCTGAGAGGATGCCAGGACGTGTAAGGATACGGATGCTCTAGATTCTAGATTGATTGTGTGAGTGCGAAAAGCTTAGGATCGTTTCCAAGTGTTTACACGGTTCAACACTACTAGTAATAGCTAATTATTGTCTTCTGGCAAGCTATAACCTGTTCAACTGTGTCAAAGTACTTTGTTTTTGGTCTGGTGTGCTTCAATAATGTTTCTCCGCGATGTTTCTTGCTTGCCATCCCTTGCCAGGAATCAGAAAGGCCTCAGTGCCAACCGTGTTCTCCCCAGCTTCCTGACAGGTTGAGCCAACTGCCATATAAAGACCTTATTAAGATTAAGAAAATCAACAAAGCCTCATGTCAACCAATCGATGTTTCTTCTGCTCTCTCCTGCCGGACAGAGCACCATATCACGACCTGCAGTGCTGCTAAGAATTTGAGTATGCTTTGTCCATGCTGATGTGTTAGGGCTGTGGCAAAGCTCACCAAAAGGGCCAGTGCAACAGCTGCAGCAATAGTCCAAAGGGCAGAACCTGATGGAGAAAAAAAACCTAACATGCATCTATGTGCAAATACTATGCACTGCGTATAATATGCAGCATACATGTTGTGTGTGTATGGTGGTTTGCTCAGCTCCAGACTTTGCTCGCCATGCAAGAGTTGCCTTGCTGAAACAAAAGAGTACGGAATTGCCTGACAACTTACTTCTAGGACATGAGTGATGAAATCAAAAGAAGCCATGTTGGTGGGTCGTGCATTCTATCGGTCCAAAGAATGCCTTGAGCTTGACACCGAAGAAGCAAAGATTCAACCAGGGAGAATAGATTGAAGGAAGCAAGGCTTGCCTGGGCTGTCCGATGGTTCAAAACAGTAACATCCATGGTGGTTTCTTCAATCAGGGAAATATCGCGAGCATGAGAACACAAGGTGAAGCCGCGAGCAAGTAGGGACATTGGTCCATCTAGCATTCGCAGTGTTTTTATGGGCATTTGGTTGCTGCAATGAAATGTTTTCCTTCCAGCAATACAATTCCCATGCAAAAGGAATTGTGTATACATAAAACATTTACAGGCCGACACAGTGTTGACCAATGTACAGCAGCTCTGATGTGGGCGTCCCAAGACAAAGCCACCACGTAAAGCACCTATAACCCCTATAATTATGTATATATATAGTTATATATATATGCGAACTTTTTCTTGATACTCAAAGGGCTGCGGTATGGTGAGAAAGTGATAGCAGTGCTATACCATCACGGCATGCGCGAATTGCCTTTTGGGTTGGTCTTTTGGAGCTTAGGTAGAAGTGTTTTTTAATACGTTTCATTTTGAAAAAATAACACAAAAAATACTAGCGGTTCAAAAATATGACAAAAAGTGCTTCATTAGTCTTAAAAAATAGGGTTGTTTTTTAGTGTTTTCAAAATGAAAAAATGTAATAGTATATCTGGTTGTTTTTGAAAGGTTATGATCCGTTTTTCATTCCCTTTGTGACAGGATTCAACCAAGGACAACTGGCATGCTGATGATAATATACAACCTGTATACGCTTACTGCTTACTTCCTTGAGGTTATGATCCGTATGTTTCTTTCTCCTGGAATGCTGGGCGTCCTGTGGTGCTGAAGAGGTTAGCCAGGTTTGCCCACAAGACTGCAGCCACTTCGATTTCTGTCCGGTGTAAAATTTTGGCACGGTGAGTGTTTTGACCTGACTGCCTGTGACATGTTCCAAAAAAGTATAAAACTTCTGGATAGGTTGTGAATAACAGGGTGGGCAAATGAAAGCTAAAGGGGGTCGAAAGCAGTGTGAAAAAACAAACCACACGCAGTGACTGAAAATATAATCAGTTTTCAGTACGCCTTGTGAGGACAAGACAGCTTCTAACGCCTATCAAACGTTGAATCCTCGTTGTTCCACATTCTTGTTGACAGTTGATTTTGCTTTGACAATTTTTGTTTATTAAGTATTCTGGAGCACTTTTTGTATTGCTTAAAGGTTATTATTGTTTTTTAGTAAAAATGAAAAGTAGAAAAAAAACACTTCTACATAAGCTCCAAAAGGCCAACCCAAAACGCCAATCGGGCACATGGTGATACCATCACACCTATGAGCTGTACTACAAATTCTTCACACTCCTTCTCGGTAGTGTGAGCGTCAGCTAGCTCCTTTTGAGCTCACTCTGCCGCTGTCATACACCTACGGGGTTCCTTGAGGCTTCTCCTTCTGAATCGATCTCATCTAGCAGCATCCTGTATCGATTTCTCTCATAGTCAACTCTATCTGCTAGTTCAAACTGCCCTTTTCCTTCTAGCACCCAATGTCTTGCATTCAAGCTTTCGATCTTTGCTTCAAGTCGGCCACGTAGTACATTCCTCTGTTCCTCCTCATATTCAATGCTTTCCACATACTCTGCATTTCCTGATTTGAATGATTTTGATCCTGGTCCATCTGAAGGCACTGCTCCGTGGGCCGCTGCCTCTAACATGATAGCGTGTCCACGATATATTGCCCTCTTGTGGATCTCAAACCTTCTAAGCTCCTTCTTGCTAGGTAGAATGCTGCATTTGTTTCTGAGGTCATATCATAATTGACTCTGTGCATAGTATCTGGTTCTAGCTCTTCTACAAACCCTACTCCCACTGAGATCAATCCACAATGAAGTCTCCTGGTGTAGCTTCCCAACAGGTCTACTTGGTTGTCGTAGTCTTCTTTTCTGTCGAAGAGATACTCGAGCTCCGTCATCCTGATTTCGCAACCATTCACCTTTCCACAAGAGAAATCTCTCTGCGTTTCTAATCTTTCTTTCACATGCTTCCATAGCGCCCACTTTGATAAGGTCATTGCTGCAAAACCGATGGTAATGATCATCTCATCGTGATTTTCCAATTTCTATTGGCGTCTTCTACTTCCAACTTGCACTGGTCAATCTCTCTCGAATGTACTTGCTTCTGTAACCATTGGCTGCAAGCTCTCAAAAGTCACAATTCCGACAATCATCTTGGCAATTTTGACCTTGTCTGCAAAGTTCTTTTTCTCTTCACACGCCTTTCCCTCAAGCTCACCAACTCTTTTTTGCCCTTCGGTGTGCCAATAACTGAATTGAGTTGTCTGATGGTAGTTGTTGGAGCTTGATCTTTCCAATCTGCTCTTCATATGCCTTCAGCATCTGTTGGGTGTAGTTACCTGGTCGGATCCATAGTCCATCTTTCTCCCGTTTGTACTTTCTCGTCAGGAAGTTGAAGTCATTCACCAATCTTCTCAATTTTGCTCATGCTGAGAGAAAGACTTCATTGATGTATACTGTTTACCGCAAAGATAGAAGATATTCGGGAATTAATTCAAATAGAAGATGCAGAGTTGGGGGTGCCCAGGCAACGTGTCAAATAGAAGATATATACAATCGCAGAGGTAGCTCCTGAGATCAAATTTGGCGTTTCTTGGTCAAAACCTCTTGAAGGAGTTTGGAAGCCACATTTCACTGGTATTTACAGCAAATCCTGCTTGTTTGCCTCTAACATGACTCGGGCTAGCCGGCGGAAAATTCTTGGATTTTTGCACCCTATGTCGGCCTATAGGGAGCAACTCTTGCAACATGACCATTTTTGTCTGGACTGGTAGAACATTGCAAAAAACCTGCAGTTTTTTGTGTTTTGGGATGCCTTACCATTGACTCATCAAGCGCGCACAGAACAAGTCAAATAGAAGATATAAATGAACATAAATGAACACCAAATAGAAGATATTAGTTTTAACTATTTGGTGGGCGAATGTTTACACAGAATTAATTAAGTAATATCTTCTATTTGAACTTGTTCCCTGTTCTATGCTGAATTGCGCTCGGTTTTTTCCAACTGCAAGCAATCTCTTTGTATATAATTGGAAATGCTTTTAGTATTTAATGGATTATGATATATATATATACACTGGTTTCTATTTCATCTCTGAGCTCTGATAAAGATTCTAGCTCTATCTATTGTGGTTTCTATCTATTCTACTTGCTGGCTCTGTCTATACTGCCTGCTAGCTCTATATATATATATATATAAATGCACCTGCCGCCACATGCTTTCTTGGGCCAGGCGGGCGATCAGAACCCCCGAGGACTAAAACAGTAAGCAAGGCCCGGTAGGAAAGTCAAATAGAAGATCATTTTCAAATAGAAGATCCACCCCACCAAGCCACATTCAAATAGAAGATATATGTTTTTGAGCAGAAAGTCCAAAATGCAAAAGTAGCTCAAAAGACCAAAAATTTGATCGTTTTGATCAAATAATTAATTGGATCTTCTATTTGAATGGTACGGGTGGCACCCTCCCAGGTGCATTTCAAATAGAAGATATATAGCCGCAATTTCTTCTATAATTGAGGTAAACAGTATACTTTGATCGACCTGTGAAAATCAAGCCATCCACATGAATCAAAATGATGCCCTTGTCATTTCTTCCTAGGCATGGGCGCCCAGTCCGCCTCTTTCTTTCTCTCATCTCTGTTCTCAAGCTTCTTGTATCGTGGTGCAGAGAATCCGATATCTTCTGATGGCGCTGGCTCGTAGCTGAAGATTGCAACTGAAGGAACGACTGCATCATCATCATCATCATCATCATCATCAAAGAATCGCTTATCAAGTTTTTCCTTTTTCATTATACTCTCACAATATTCAGGCATGAGCCATCTACCTCCTCTTTTCACCAAAGTTGGTTCTCATCAGCTCTGGAGAATCTTCCACTTCTGCGATGAACGTGGGAGCAGTAAATTTTGAAGTCAATAGGCCTCCAACGACCAAGCCATGTACATTGAACTTCCAACCTGCTGCCTTTTCCAGAGCTTTCATTTTCATCCCGAATGACTCGAACGCGGCCTTGCACTGTCAAAGAGCGATTTTGCAAGTTGAGTGGTACCTTCAAGTCACCATGCTCCAACGCGCGCTCTCGACCATGGATTTCCCAACCATGCTCCATCAGTCTTCCATAGGGCTGACTTACCTTTGAACTGAAGGTTACATTCTCTGTGAGAAGAACTTCGCGTCTCTCTATGTCACGCAAGGAGATCTCAACACTTTTCGCACCCCCAGCGGGGATATATGATTTTCTGGGCGTCTTGTAGTTTGGTAGCTGGATTGAACTCTAGCTCTCCTTCCCCATGATCTGCCATATCCAAAAGGAATAAAGCTACATCAGATCCACTGTCAATAATGACGGCCGCATCACTTTCTTCTCCAAGTCTCCTCACCTTGGGTCTCTCACCTTCCACTTCTTCACAATTTTCCTTCCACGGCTCATCATCGCTATCTCCAATGTAGAAGTGAATCGCGCGAATTTCATGATCTTCTGCATCATCATGCCTCTCTCGTAGGTCAAAGATGATTGGCTCACTGTTCTCAAATCCTCCTGACCACTGGTTTTGTCTCTGCTGGGCTAATTACTCTGCAGACTCACATTGGCTTGTTGTTGACCAGCTGTGTGAGTAGTCACTGAAGCTCCTCCTGAAGATGAATGGGCGGTATCACTTGCGACCGGTCAAATATTGTTTCTCCAACAGTCTCAAGCAAGATGTCCGGGCTTCCCACAAGTGTATCACGTTGCCACACCTTTTCCTTTTTGGTCTTTGCCCTTACCTTTGCCCTTGTGATCACCTTCCTTTTCTGTTTGTTCTTTTCCTTTCTTTGCCTTGCCCTTGGTATCCTTACCTTTGCCTTTCTGGCGGTCATTCTTGCCTTTCTTGCCCCTTCATTTGGTGTCTTGAACTCGATCAACGTCCAATAGTCTGTACTGCTACTTGCCTACTTGCCACCATTGAAGTAGCCCACTTCTGCTGAGAACGATCCCGTTGCAACACCTGTTCCCTCAAAGCTGAGTATCAAACATTGTCGCCACTTGTCAAGTTCATGTCGGATTTGAGTTGTCCACCTACACATCTCAAAAGAATAGTTGAATAGCAGATTTCAACTCTTCTTGAACTGCCGTTCCTGATTTGACCGTCTCATCAAATACTTCTTCAAGCTTAAGGAGCTGAGGTTGTAGAGCACTGTTCATCGAAATGCTGGCCATGTAGTGGCTGCTCCAAAAGTGCTATTTCGGTAGCCTTTGACGTAGGGTTTCAAAGCTTTGCTCAAACTCCTCCAAGCATCAAATCCATTGGAGCCCTCCACAGCATTAGCCAAATGCAGCGAACTGCCCCTCATCAACGAAGCTAACAATCCATAGAGCTTGATGCAAATGGTCTTCTCCTCTGTAGTTGCCAAGTCCATATCAAAGCTTTCATTCGGTTTGTCATGGGTCCCCTTCAGATCCTGCATGTAAGCCTCATCCACTGAGCTTAGATACTTCTCAAATACCCATGACCACTCTCTGAACGCTTTGATCTCTTCCTCTTGTGACTTGTAACCGAATAAATTGGGTTTTGTGATCAGCTTTGACCAATCAGTTGTTGTTGCTCTCTTGTCTTCAACTGCTTTCTTTACTGCCTCTGCTGCTGATGCTGTTGCTTGCGTGCTCTTTGCTAAGACTGGGTACAGAGTGCAGCTCACAACAGTTTATCACCAGTTCAGCAATTTGGGTTCCAAAGGCCCGAAATCTATGGCTCGAAACGGGCTTTTGTCTGGAGCTCAAAGAGGTTTTCCCTTATTCTTGCTCCACTACCACGCAAACTGTTTCTTGATACTCAAAGGGCTGCGGTATGGTGAGAAAATGATAGCAGTGCTATACCATCACACTTATGAGTTGTATTACAAATTCTTCACAATATACTGTATATTGTACAAATACCTTGATCTTTCAGCCCTTCATCGGTGTGTTGGGAGCCAGACCTACATTGCTTGCTTTATCAATATACTTGCAGGTGCCAAAGGAGGTCAAGCGTTGTGCTTGTCGTGAGTTGATTCAGGTGGGCAAGAATGCTAACAAAACATGTTCACATGATTCGGAATTGATGGATGATTTCCATGTAATCTACAGTACCAATAATTCCATCCACAGAAAACCTGCAATTGAGAAAAGAATCTAACAGTTGCTCAGAACTCGTGTTTTATAATTGCCTTGCTGGTTCCAAAGCACAAGTATTCTTCTGAGGGCACTGCTCCAAGTCGTCTAGACGGATTGTCGCCTTTGCAGTTTCAACAAGCACACTAGCCAACAGCCATCAAGAGCCAAGGGTGTGCTAAGAACTCATCCATCTTGGCCACCATGGATCATCACAACGCAGCAGTTGACCAAATTGAAGTTGACCTTTTGCGCAGTAGTTGACCATGGTGTGTCTTCTTCAAAAAAGCAAACCAGATTGAAATGCCATCCAGTATGTATCCTCTTTTTGCGGCCACGGCGCGCATACCCCGCCAGATATTGCGTTCGCTAGAGTGTCAAAGGGCAGGAAAGTACCACAAATAATAACAAGGAAGCCAGTCCTTGGGTCGCATTGGTCAGATAGGAGATCTGACCTGTTTACCAGAGCAAATCCGGACAATGCCAAAGCACATCAATGTGGCAAACCATGGTTCATTGGCGTCATTCAACTCAGCAAACCTTAGCAAAGACTAGATCTGAAAGAGCTCCCATTGTTTCAGCTTTGTGGCGCAATCGAGACACCCAAGTCGCTGACTTCTGTGGTAGGAGGCCGTCCCTGGCAAGTGCGTAGAACACTCGGGGCTGTGCCAGGAAACACCTTGGCGAGAACAAGCGCGCCCAGAACTTGAAGACCGGGAAGGACAATCAGCATCCGCCATGTCAGCATCATGTCCTCTCGCTTCAAGTTTCGGACATGTAGGTCACAACAAAGAGGACAACTAGCTGGCCAAGCTGTACAACGTAAGATAAAGCTATCCAGCCCCTGGCGCCGATTGAGTTGATGTGGGGCTGATAGCCGCAACGTAAAGTGGACGTTAAAATAGGCAAGGTAAAGCACAAGCTTCCTCTCATGGAAGGCCACCGCAAAGCCGGAACTTGGATTGATGAGATTGTACGGAGTGAAGCCTGAGCTTTGAAATAGTATGCTGTACCGTACCCAAAGATTTCCTAGATATGAAGAATCACTAAGAACATGACCCACAAGTGCTAAAGAGGCTGCCACAGGCAAAATCGTTGCACACAGCAACGTTCCAATCAATGCGCGAGGGACTGTCTTTTCAGGTTGCAAGGCCTCTCGCAAAAATGTCTAGGGCAAAGTCAGAAGCCGTCTTACCACTTCTTTGTGGATTGTTGGGTGTTGGTTGGCTCTTTCTCTTGCCTCGCCAGCCATGCAGCAGACTTCATCAAACCCGAGAAACCCAAAGAAAGTAGTCACACAACCTGCCATAACACCTCAGTGGTTTGAAGCATTCGAGCTAAACTAATGCCTCACAGTATGAGCTATCCACCGCCAATCCCAAACTCTCGCGGCACGAAGGGCTGGAAATTAGAGGCCTCGCGACATAAACCAGCATCCCGGCGTCAACTCTCTCTGTTGAAGTCACGGCGCATGCGAGTGTAGTTGAGGACCCCGACCGCAACAAATTTGATTTGTACACTTCACATATTCTATTTCTGCAAACACCTCAAACTGTGATGAAATGCATTCGTGTTGATCATAAAACTGTCAGTGATCAAAGTCAATGGTCAATGTGGAGTCGATCGTCCCTCAAGAAGGTGTCTCGCTAAGCAAACTGAAGCAGGCTGCGGGTATCGCCAGGGAGTTAGCAGTCTGTGCAGGCAAGACCATTTGGACAAAGACTGAACAATGGGAAGGAAGGAAGGAAGTTGCCTCACAAATCTAAACCAGTCACTTTTCAGGTTCTTGTTGGTGGCTGCGAAGCCTCCTGGCAAGCAAGTGAAACGCATGGAGGTCAGTTGAGAGAAACAGGCATGAACAATGTACTCGATACAACCTGGACAGGACAACGGTCAAGCTGTCAAGCTAACAAACGTGGTGCGCTCAAGCGCTCAACCGACACAAAGAAATCAACCAGGACTATGATTTTCTAATTACTTCTAATTCATTGACACAGGAAGAACGTGACAAAAAAACAGGAACCGGTCATGATCTTCCTTTCCAGGCGCAAAAATGGAGATGTTAATACAACACGTCGTCCATGAGCAGCGGGACAAGGGCCCAACTGCGGAAACAACAGCACGGAAGCACATCCGCCCACCCATAAAAGTGGCTTAGTTTGGGCTTTACGTTCATTGCATTGCGCTGTATGAGCTCAAAGCTGCATTGACCATCTGCCCACAGCATAAGCGGTTCACAAGAACTGTCCCAAGCGTTAGCCGGCTGCATGCGGGTCAAAATGGTTTGCCAGGGCCCTGGCGACTTATGATCGTGGGGTTGTCTGATGCGCTGGCTGGTCCGCCGATCCGCTGGTCCGCGGATCCGCTGATCCGCTGGTGCGCTGATCCGCTGATCCGCTGATCTGCTGGTCCGCGGGTCCTCTTGTCCGCTGATCCGCTGATTCGCTGGTCCGCTGGTCCGCTGATCCGCTGGTCCGCTGATCCGCTGGTCCGCATGGTCCGCTGATCCGCTGATCGGATCAAGAAGTCAAGAACGTATCATCAAGAGCGTTTCTGAGAGAGTTTCAGGGGTAGCCCAGAGAGCATTTTCGACGAGTCAAGGGCCAAGCGCTGGCCAGCTGACCTGCCAGTTGCGTTCGGACAAGGCCAGCTCTTTGGAGACTCCCACCTCAATAGAAACAATTGCGGCCAAGATTTTGACGTGGGATCTGCCACGCGAGGCCTAATACTTGCTGTCCAAAGCACCATCAGTGTTAGAGTCCGCGGGTGGCCGACTCTTCCAGAGTTCACCTGAAGGCAAAGCCGTTCTTGCTGCGTGTTGGAAAATGAAGCACGGAAGTGAAGTGAAATCTGAAACTGGATTGATTGAAACGCGTTTTGCGCCAAGAGCATTTTTTGCCCATGCTCAGCAAAAAGTAACCTATAATCTTCAGACGCCGGAATGGCTACGATGTCACTGATTCCAGGTCCGTTTTGCACGGCGGTCTTGCTCCTTCTTCTCAGATGCCTCAGTTGTTTTGGTGATGGCTGCAATCAGCTCCCGCAAGGTGAGGCCGCAGGCTCTCATGAGATCGTTGCGGTACCTCACCTTGCCATCGGAAGTGTCAGGTATGACCTGCAAGCACAATGTCTCGCCTTCCGTGGTGCAGCTGCCATCACAGCAGCCCGCTTTTCCTTGGGTAAAGCTTCAGCAGGCTCTTCCGGTGGCTCCATGTCAACTTCTCCCCCCATCTCATCAACTGCCCCCTGTGGCTGTGTTGCAGTTGCAAAAGCACGTTCATCATACGGAACAAGTAGAGATCCCACATCAAAGGAAGCCTCCTGCAGTGGCGGGGCAGTGTCTGGGCTTGTGGCTGCATGCCCAAGCGCAATCTGCTTCAACCTCTGAACCTTACAGGCAAGACTGGCAAAAGCTGGCAAACAAGAAATAGAGCAGCAAAAGCATCCGCATGAACAGGAAAAACTGCTTGGGCTTATAAGGGACCAGCTGGAGTAGAGCGTAGGCCCGTTGCAAATGATGAGAAGTGACCTGCAAAGCCTTTGCTTGGAGAGCTTCAGCAGAATGGGCCCCACGAAGATCTCAAATACCAAGAGCAAGGCTGCCAAGATGCCTACTTGCCAAGGAGCTGCACCAAAACGAGCACCAGCTTGCGCGTCACCAGAATCACGAACGACATGGCTCTGCACACTCATGGCGCCCTGGTAAGATAAATGCCACGACTCTGCTTCTGCCGTGAGAGTGATGACTTGGTGCGGCTCTGAGAAGTAGGCCGTCAGCCGGGCCACTGCAGTAATCATGAAACACTCCTCAGGAACGGTAAAGTTGCGGTTGGCCGCTTGCCACTCTGCCTCAAAGCCGTTTGGAGCGGATTGCTCACGCTTGAAGCGTAGCCGGCTGAGCTTGCCATCTGATGGCACGTACCCCGACGCAGCATTCTGCGTGAGTTGCACCGCGCCTGCATCTGCCACGCCGATGTCGCGCCATTTGAGCAGCTGCATCTGGCGACGCCGGTTCTCTGGCAACGCCGATCAACTCAGCAATGTCAGGAGTGAGGGGGACCCATCGGTGCCGTGAAGCTCCTGCGCATTCCAAAGAAGCATATGCAAGAAAATTAAATGCAAGACTTTTGATCGAACGTGTGCGTGGCAGACTTGAAATTGCTGTTGACTGCTACATAAAGCAACGCAAAGCAATGTTTCACCCCTTGCTTTAATCAGCATGTCAACCACTCAGCCCCGTCCTTCAGGGGCGCAAAAATCAGGCGGGAGCTCTTCACGGGTCGCCCAGTGGCAATGAGGAACCTTTCCTTGGTGGAGGCAGAATGGCTTCCAATTTCACCCCGTTCCATTGGGATGTACTGCGCCGGGTGCATGTTGCACGTGATGCCCAAGCTCATTGTCCGGTCAGGCAGTTTTGGTGGCTCTGGCGCTGGAGCCGAATTGCACCAGCTTGTTGAAAGTCTGGTAAGGGTTTCACTTTTGATTTTGCTTTGTCCTTGGAAGATGCGCCGGGATCTGACAAAAGCCCAAGACTGAGCAAGAAGTCGTAGGCCTCGTCAAAGTTTCCAAGCAACACCGGCCGGAGAGGTCACCCAGCAATTTGTATGCATTCCAGAATTGGTCCCAATCCCCGGAGCAACGATGAAACCATTCTTCTGGCGTGGAGCTGGCCACTGTAGCTGACAACACTTTTGGCCGCAAATACCTCAGCTGAAAGTGGGCAAGGACACAAAAAATGGTATACGTAAACAAACAATCATTTAGCTTGTCGCGCCATTACCTCATCCAAGAAAAGTGTAAGCCCGGCCTTCGGAGGCCTCCTGAAGGCCCACCTGGCAACCAACCCATCTTGCACGGCTCTGGCAAGCTCTCTTCCAACTTAGATTCCACTGCCTTCAGGATGACAGCGTCCAGCGCTTGCCCCAAGGTCTCTGCGTGGCCGGTCATGGGCGATTTCTCGTTTGGGCATAGTTCACAAGAGTCAGAGGCGATGGGGATGTGGGAAAGACAGCGACACGAGCCCCATTGACCAGAGCGCGCATCATTGATAAACAATGCAGGGCGTAAGGGAATTCTCGATGGGCGGCTCTCACGGCGTATGTTTGGCAGAAGCGATGGCCAGCTTCCCCGAGCACATACTTTGGATCAAAGCGCGCGTCCACTTCATCCCACATGAGCTTCATGGCCGGTATGTACTGTCTATCTTCATGGGTTCCAGACATGACGGCGGAACTTGCGACTAAGGGGATTTGCACGTGCGCTGAGCGAAAAACACTGCAGCATACTTATCAGCAGTTAAAGTGGAAAAGCCCCGGCGCGCACGCAGAATGACCCAAACACTGGCGCGCAGATTTCATAGCACGCAGCCACTACACGCAAGATCGGCAGACAATGCTTTTTTCAAGCGCATTCAGCATTAAGTGATCCTGCCACCTCCTCTGGTCGATAACCTCCTTGCAAAATGATTTCGTTGTGGCGCCACGCCATGTCCAAAAGGAAGAATTTGAAGCCGTACTCATTCATGTGCTTTGTCTGGCGCTTGTACTTGCTGAGCCAAGTGAATGTAAACTCACAAACTGATGTTCTAATCCCTTTCAGAACAGGCAAGTCCGGATCACAAGTCTTCCTGCACTAGGCGTCTGCGCGTCCTGCCATGTGAAACTTATCACATACGTAGGTCAGCTTCGGCGGCGCTACGCCCGCAGCAGCGGATGAATCCTGCAGGGCCAATCTTTGAGAAGAATCTACTGTAACTCTGACACATACCTGGGCTCAGACTCAGTTAAGAAGCTGGCTGGGGCGTCGGGTACTTACCATGAAGAAATATGCTTTCTGCTTTCAGGGTTTGCATCCATGTAAAAACTGTCCCAGGTCTAAAATAACAACAAAATCCCGCGGCAACAGACACAGAACCCTTCGTCCTTTCCCCTGCGGGCCGCGTATTGGTGCAAATGACAAGCGTCATCGTGCACCACTACACAGAGGGCTGCAAAATCAATCCGTCCGACAAACATACGCACAGCATTTCGGCAGACTTTGCAAGCTGCTTTTGGGCAGCCCTCACGAGGTGACGCCAAGCGAACCAAGCTTGGCTGATGAGCAGACGTAGGCGGGCAGCAGGGAGCAGGTTCAACTGAGAATTCGCTGCAGCCTGTGAGCACATCCGCTTCACTAGTGAATGACGCGCGCTGTCTGACCAGGCGAGCATGGAACTGCTGAAGCCACGGTACACTAAAGCCCATGCCCTTCACGCACACTGTAGTTGTGCCAATACAGCACACCAAAGTCAGGGCATGATGGACGCCTGCAGCGTAATGGGACACGCTGCTTTTCCACAATGCCGGGCAAGTCGACTATGATTGCAGCATCTGCATTCAGCAAGCCGGCTCTGACAAGCTGGGCAGTGCGTTGGGAAA